CATGAACAGCGTGAAGTACCTGGGGAGGCACACGGGGTGAGAGGAGCTCAAACAGGCCCCGAGCTCCCCCAGCCTCACGCCCGCCCCAGCGACGCCTGCACTCACACCGCCAGACTGGCCTCAAATCCTGCACACTCGCTCTCCAACCAACAACACGGTTTGCAGTAACAGTTATACGGTGCTTCTACTGACTGTCACAGTACAGAAAAATCGTTAAAAGTAACTATTTACTTAAGAAATAATTGGGATTTGGCTTCCATCAACTCAACACCATCTCCTTCTTCAGGCTGGAGGGGCAGCCCAGCAAGAAGAGAGACCACTGCTTCCATACTTGCCTGGTCCAGATCTCTGCAAAACAGAATTGAATAGAACACAATGAAATTCCCTTTTCCTTATAGATCTAACTGCAAGTGAAAAAGTGTTTTTAATAAAGAAGGTGTTCTGCTAAACTTCTGTCCATCCTGAAAACAACTCTGACATTCTGTGGGACAGCTTCAACCACTGTTTCCTGAGGACAACAACTGCAATCCAAACTTGTCACTAAAATCCCAGTAAAGTACGAATTCAGCACTACATATTTGATGATTTTCCCTTCAGTATGCACCACACAAAGCTCTAGATAATAAAAGGTGAATCCTAGTGCCAAATCAGAACAAGTACCAAAAGGAGCCATGTTGGTTAAGACTCAGCATCAAACATAATTCTGCTGTTGCTCACCAAAACTTGTTTCAACTCCTGCCCTTCCCTAGATCACACCTGCTGAAGGAAGCCCACGGAGCCAGCTCAGCCATGGGATCAAATGCCACCTGGAGCACTGTTACAGCCTCACAAACAGGGGAAGTGTTCCTCCTTACCTTGTCAAGCATTTCACATCCTCATCTGTGGCTTGATTAGATGTTCCCATGACCCAGTCGGTCAGATACTCCACCATTTTGTTCCTGTTGCACACAGATATGTTGCTTTAGCTTTGCAGGGGTTTACTGCGGGGTTAGTTTGGGGGTTTTTTGCAAACCCAGTGTGAGAGCTGTGTGAAGACCACACAATGAAGAGGAACTGGGTTTATTAGACCAATCTGCACCACACACTGAATTGTTACGTGTGTTTAGTGTCACCACCATCAAAACAAAACTGTAATGCAGCACCAGGCTCTGAATCATTCTGAAGGAAAAGATGAGGGAACTCATCAGGAATACTGGTGTGACAGTGTTTGGTTTCTCTTTCCAACCATGTAACCAAACCCATGGACACCTGCCCCTGGCACACCACCCCAGAGGGTACGCAGTGCATCCTTACCTGAATTTCATCTCCTGGCAAAATGACAGGTCATCTCTCCTTTCCATCATCACTTCCACCAACTGGCAGAGCTTTGTTTTTATTTGAATGGCATGCACCAGATTTCCAAGCACACGCACATACCTGCAAACAAAGCAAAAAGGTTAATTACAGACATCATGCCGTTTCCTATTTCCCCACTCCCCGCGTCAGCTGAGCACCAGTAGAAAATTTCCTCTAGCCAAACAACTTTCCTGTTAGTATAAAACTGAACAGGAATTTGCCCTTCACCTGGTTTTTAACCACTGCCATCCACATATAGAAGGAAACCAGGAATGTTTAGAGAACAGGGGCAACAGGGCCAAGTCACTCTTCATCAACACCCTTCATGCTACACAAATGACCTCAGTGATTACTGCAGTTGTCAGAACCGCAGGGAGGAGCAGAAGATCAGCTGCTGCATCTCCATGGATGGAAGCAGAAAAGGTACAAACTGGAAGGCTCTAACTCACTTTGTAACAACTGCTGTGCACAGGAAGGTCAGGAGGATTCCTTACCTGACCAGGTTCAGCATCATGGTCTCAATACTCGCTTGCCCGAGATGCTCTGAGCTCCCTTCGGTGTGATTGTCCAGCAAATTCTTCATTATGGCAATGGTTTGCTCCACAAACTGTGTGTTGGTCTCAGTTAACAAAACCTACAGGAAGAAAATTGCTGCTCTTAATTCCAGAACAAAGGCATCTACCAAGTGTACTGCAGCACTACAAACAGCTCTGGGACAAGTATTGTCCTAGCACCACCAGGACTCCAACACATGGCAGAATTCACTCTGCCAACACTGCCAGCCATAAGGAGTCCACAAACATTCCCACAGATTCTGTGCTCAAGAGCTCACTAACAATTCAAGAGTGATAACCAGAGCCTGGAATCACAAACACAACATCATCAGCGTGTGCTGTGAGGATCACACTGCTCCTGGGGATTCCTACAGCACACAGGGAATCCTGTCAGTCACTTAGCTGAGAGACAACTGACACTTTCTATTGACTAGGTGAAAGACACAACTGACACTTTTTGTTCAGACCAGCGTGAGTAATCCATCACCACCCTACCTGTCCTTGAGAATCAAAGAACTTGCTGATGGTGTTCTTCAGCTTGTTGAAGAGCATCGGGTACAGCGCCGGGCTGAGCTCCAAGCCCACCAGGTCCTTGATGTTGGTGCGGATCTGCAGCCCCACCTTCTCGTGGTTGCAGACCATCAGGGTCAGGAGGCGGTCGATGAACTTGCTGACAGGCGTCTCCACGCTGCCCTCGGTGGACACCATGGATATCATGGAGCCTTTCCGCTCGTTGACGGGGCCCATGGGGGGGCTGTAGGTGGCCAGGCCGGCGTTGCTGCGGTGCTGCAGGCACACCCCTCCCAGGGCACACAGGAACCCTGTCATGTTGATCCACTCCTGCAGGGAATCCGTGTCCGACAGGTCTATGGAGCCGCCGCCGCTGACATGCGACATTCGCCTCTTCACGATCGTCTTGTGCAGACTCTCCGAGACCTGAACGGGAACGGCCGATGCTCAGAGCTCTTCCAGCCTAACTCATGCACAGAGTTTGAAGCATTCTGCACCACAGCCTACCATTTACAGCTCCAGCCTCAAAAATTCACCTGTTTCAGTGCACTGTGAGAGCACAAACAGGAATCGGTCCAGAGGCCGTTTGCAGCAAGGCGAGCGGCAAGGCTGGAGGGGACTGATGTCAACCCCCTGCTCTGCACCAGGGTGAAGCACATTTAAACCATGGTTGCCAGAGGCTTGTTTAAAAACTCCCAGTGACAGGGACTTCAGAGTTTCTCCAGCAGTGTTCCACAATATTCCCTATTCTTTTTACCAATTTGTTTTTAAGCTCAACTTAATTGTCCCTTGCAGCAATTTAAGCCAAATTATTTCTTGGTCTCTTAATAAACAAAGCAGACAACTGACTACCATTCTGGAACATTTCCATGGAGTTTAAGCCTATCCACAAAACTAATTTTCTAGATTAAAACTCAAATTCCTTAAAATAAATAGGCTTAGAATTTTGAATTTCTAGAGGTTGAAGCTACGAAAACGTTCATAGTCACCTGCCCATCTTCCATTTTGGTCTTCGGATAGTTAAGGATCAGTTTTGTCGCTTGCTCCCATTTCGCATGTGTATCCTCCCAGGCCTGAAAGAAGACACATCAAGATTTAACTGGGACTCCTTGCAGGATTTCAGTGTCTCTAAAGACATGAACACAGAGTATCCGAGCTCGAGGACGTTACCTCGGTGTTGCCGGCAGTCGGGTGCTCGATGCGCCTCAGCAACGCCATCACTCTCTTCTGCAGAGCTGCTCTCCCTGCAAGGGACACAGCATTCAGCCAAGTGCCCTGCAAACCCTCCTACAGCCAGTTTGTGATCTTTGAACACACCCCCCTAAAGTGTTTAGAAACAGCAGATTCCTGTTCCGCTATAAAATCCTCATGAACTCAGTCACCCACATTCCTTACACACGACCAAGATTCCTCATGAAAAGCCAGAGCAGCATCAAATCAAGAACCTCAACGCGTTTAAAGAACTCACACACAAGCAACAGTCTTGTTCCCCAGGCAAAGTCACCTTACCCGACTCATGATTCTCACCTGTGGACATCATGTTGCTAACAGACGCAAACTCCATGAAAGTGTTGTAGTTGGGCAAGAAGTTGTGCACTGAGACTTCATCTACCCCACACCTGATATCTGCCTCCTCGCAGAGGTGACGGAAGCAGGACATGGCCACCAGCACTGCCTCGATGTCTGGGCTCCACAGGAACATGTACAGGGCCACCTCCAGCTTGGTCTGGGCCTGGCGGCAGATCGGGGTCCCACTGCATCCTGCTGTGCTTTCCTTGGGAAACACAGAATTCCCAGGCTGGGAATATTGCTTATGAACACAAAATTTTATTACAATCCAGCCTTGGCCAAGCTGTGTTTAAAACTGCTTTTGTTCCAGCAGAAATAAGCACTCCTAAAGAGCACCAGAGCTCTCCCATGCTCTCGAGGGATGCAGTGTGCACTCCCAAGGAGGAAACGTTCACCAGCACCTGAACGGAACGAGGTGCGGAACACCATTATCAACCAGCACATCAACTGCACACAAGGCAGGGTACAGATGTCTTCTCCTCCTCAGAAACCATTCATTTTGTTTCCAAAAATTGCCCTCGAAGCAGTTTAATTTCTGCTTGCACACAGGTTTTTTCCCAAGTGTCAGAATCAATTATTATCATGGGTTACTTACCATGGAGGAATTCCCTTTCCCTTTCCTGAGGGTAGCTCCCGGAGCACAGCGTATCATCTCTTCATGGTCAAGGGAAATCTGACTAGTTCCACTTCCAGAGACATCATAAAGGAAGAGAAAGTGGCAGGAACTCCTATCTGATTGCTATAAAGAGAGAGAAGGAAAATAATAAATCCATTTTTCCTTTAAGAGGGTAAAAAAGATAGATTTGAGGGGGGCAAAAGCTCTTCAACATTTACACAGCACCTTGCACACTGGGACTCCCAGAGCTTTATCAAGTTACCCATGTTAATGGTGTCTTAGAACAGCATTTCCCCTTCAGGAATACACTCTTTGATAGCTCCATAACATCAGAAAGCAGCAAGTCACAATTCTGGGACTCAGAGGAATGTGACAAACAAAAGGGAACTTCTATTTTATCCAGGTAGGTCTATGTTTTACCATTTTACTTTCTCTTTTTCTCACCTCGGGAACTATCTCCCTTTGCATTAGGCACATAGGACTAAGGCATAGGTTTCTGTGGAACACACATTTTCCAGGCAAGTACAACAACCTGTGAGCTGAAGTAAGGAAAAAGTAAAAATCCCAAAACTAACTCTCGTTACCAATTCTAACCAAGTGCCTCACAGGGCAGAGAGGAAATCAGAGAACAGAAATGTAGGTGTAGCTATCACCAAAATAACCTGGTAAATAAAGTGACAGAACAAGTCATGCTAATGATCCCAACAGAGGTGGTAAGCTTCACTTACTTTGTTTTTCAGAAGAAATTTGTTCCTACAAATGAGGATCTCTCGCAGCCACTTGAGGATTTCTGTGCTGCTGAGCATCTGATGACTAGTGAGCTTCTTGCAGATATAAAAAAGCATTTGTGAACTGCAGCAAAACGAAACTCAGCATTAGCTTTCCCACCTAGTGACCACACTGCTGAAGATATGACTATGTTTACATAGCAGTAGGCAATCAGCATGAACATCCTAGGCAATACCAACATCGTCTCAGAGAGCGCGTAACAGATATGGTACAGCTGAGCACTCGAGATGCCAAGCTCCCCTCGGGCCCTTCCCACCACCCAGCTGGCCTCTCAGCTCCCTGGAGGAAGTGAAGCAGTTGGGAACTCGTCAGCAGTCCGGACTTGGAGTCCTCCACCTCTCCCCAGAACAGATACAGCACAGACAGCAGCAGTACAAGGTTACCTACACTGCTCTGACAACGTGTCTCAACTCTGCTCTGGAAGGAACACATCTAGGGATGTTCCTTCTTCATATCCATTCAGGCCTCACACTCTCTGTTAAAACTGCCAAAGGGTCCAAATTAGTGTCAATTTTAAAGGGTTTTTCCCCCAGCCCGAGCAGACCACAAACTCATTGCCACTCCGAGCAGTCACAGGGCTCAGTTGTTGCCCATTGAGGTGGCTCAGGGCTCAGCCCACACCGACCCCAGCAGAGCCCTCGAGCCACACACAGCAGCAGGAGCCCAATCTGCTTCTCCCTGCACTGCTGTGCCCTGCTGCTGCAGCAAACACCAGCACCAAGCCTCGTCAGACCACCACATACTATGGGGTGTAATTATTTCGCTCATGCAGCTCTTAGAATTCTGAGTTTACAGATCCCTGTTTTCTGGTTTAGCATTTTGTTCAATTTTTACTGCTCTGGAACTTCATTTCCCTCCATATTCTCCAAGACATCAACCACAACAGCTGCTGTGAAGTTATAAAACACAACTTGAACGGGTTAAATTTCTGTGCGAGTATAGAGGAAAGACCAAAGGGAACAGAGGTCAAGGCAAGGTCTCACCTTTAGGTGTGTCCTTCAGAGCCAAGATTAGCAAACCCACACGCCTGAACTGCTCAGCACTGACCAAATCAGTCCCAAAGGATACATGGAATTTAACAAGTAGCAAACGTTTGAGTGATGGGGAAAATCTAACTAGTTATCACTTCTACACTTGAACATCTGCTGAGGAATCATTAAGGAAGGAGGAAAGGTT